CGAGCCCGCCTCGTCTGTCCGTTTCGACGTTAGGTTAGGTTAGATTAGGTTAGGTTTGGTTAGGACGACGACTCTCAGGTTATTGGCTCTTGCTAGCAGGTCTTGTGAGGACGACATGGATGGATGCACTGGAGCAGTGTAAACGGTGAGGTGGGCTGGGTGGGCAGCTGGGACCTGCCTCATGAACAGAACAAACCGCAGCTCTGACCTGCACACTTTTTAGTGCAAATTCTGTAAAGTACTGTCAAGGTTTGCTAAACCATGCATATACATTTGGATCAGCAGCGGAGCGAATTCGTTTTGAGCCAACATTAGAAGCACCGACACTGCTTGCCAGGTAATGGGTGTGCATGCGTATCAATAACGAAAACAATCACTGCTACGCTAACGCTGATACTTTGCTTCAATACAACGTGTATCTCCTTGTAAGCAGACCTAAATAATCATGTACAGTGTATCAAATCTACAGAACATTGTGTTTCCTTAAACATTCGCGACACATTTCAGCATCACAAGAGCGTTGCACGCGTAGTAAGCCCGTGTCGAAAGGCCGTAGACCCATCAAACCGGCGCGCGCCCGCGCCTCCGCTGGGGGCCGTATCCGAGGAAATATGTCTATGGCGTCACCGTAGGCAACCTCCAAGGCTTCTACATAATATACGCAAACGACTCACACCGAGTAATAAAAGCATGAAACTTAAAACATAACGAGGGATCGACGCAGGTAAAGCTACACTGTGCCTCACATTTCATGATGCAGGCTTGGGTCTCTTGATGAGAGAGGGTCCCAGAGCGCGCTGCCGCGCCAACACGTCAGACGGCCGAGCGGTAATTGATTTATACTGTAATCCAGGACAACTGGCATGACATTGTAGTATGTCGCAACAGGTTTGTTATAAGCGTGTTTGACGCGTGATGAAACATTTTGTCAGACTCTCACAGTAACGTTTCACAGCTGGCATCAATTGTATAGTTAAGTGCAAAGAGCCCAAAAGGACGGCCATTTTGTTCTCCTAGCTACCACCCTTTTTGTTCGCGCGCATTTGGGACATTCATCAGCTTATTTTAACGTCTCAGCTGCCGAACAGTCGCTCTCAGCAGTCGGCACATCTAGACCTTCCAGCAACCCCAGGACGGGTGTGACAGCAGTGACAAGTTATCCAATGGCGTGCACACTGGTCTGAAAGAGAAAGATGGTCGCAGCGATATTTAAGTGCATCTGATCCAGTGACTGAACCAAGCTGCAGGATATTCTTCCTTCAAAGCCGTGATCGAAATCACCAAATCAATGCCATGGTTGAGCGAGACGCTGTTTAGCAAACACACCGACGCAAGCGAGAAGCCCGTATTTTCTCTGCGCCCACATGCAGAACCGGGCCGCCACCAAGCCACGCAGGCCACAAGCCATCCCGCAGTGTCAGTCGGTAGACGTGACGGTGCCAGAGCAGCCCTCCCCCTCCCCCGTCCTCCCGTCCGCCGTGCGCGGGTGACAGTGCCGCTCGCGCCGCCGTCGCGTGCGACGATCTTTCGTCGCTCAGCACGGCGCGCTCTGAAGCGATCCATCGCCGGCGGGCCGGCGCATGCATCATCGTCGGCTGTGCCCCGCGACAGGCCGACGGTGACGCGTCGGTCCCGGAGACGGCGCCGGCGACGCGGTGCGCCCATCGCCCCCCCCCCCCCCCCCCAGGGGTGGCCGAGCGCGCGGCAGAGTGCGCCCAGGGGGAAGGGGGAGGGGTGGAGGAAGAGAGAGGGACGACGGCTTTGGAGTCCTGCGCAACTGACCGAGCGAACTGACCGGGCGAGTAAGTTATGAAGCACCGACCATTGACGCGGTCTCGGTTAGTTAAGTGTGGGCATGCGTTACACAGTTACTGCAGCGCTGAACCTCGTGATCGCAGTGGTGGTGAACTGGAACCGGAATTAACTCCCGTTAATCAAAGCGGACGCCGTAATCCTTCGCCCACGTCGTCGTTCGCGCCACCACTCCGTTTTTTTGTAAGCATATCCCGAGCAACTTTGTAGCAGGTTATAATGCTTGGTTAGGTTGATACGATCACATCAGTTGTACATAAACAGCGGGACGATTTCAGTAATTACCAAGAAGCTTTATCATGAGTCCCATTTGATCGAGTCACATGTGCTTCTGTAAAGATCTTGACGGTAACTGACAGCTACGGAAGTCTTTTGAGCCCAAGGTCTCTCAGGTCAAGTGCCGTAGCCAATCTGCCGAAACAGAGCTTTAGGAGCAATATCTAATTGCTTTTCATGCATTTTGGAATGCAATTTCTACTTGACGTGATCGGAATTGAAGCGTTCACTGACCAAGCGCGCTAAGGAAATGAAAGTCTGCAGTTGAGTTGGCTGTACTACCCCTAGCTGGCATGGGAATGAGTCACCACATGCTACGGGCTGGGTTTAGAACCGAGGCGACATGTGCTGGACCAGTTCCAGTGAAACGGCTCGTATCGTAAATCATATGCTTTCAGTGACTATTTATACGCCTGGCTATGAATCACCTGCTCTTAGGCCAAAGTAACCGTGGAAAACATTAATTTGTTTCATGACAACTGCTGGGCGGCCTGCATGCATCTGTTACGTCCGTGGGGCCATCCACAATGGAGCGTGGCTATTACAACCCCGTGGAAAAGTACAGGAGATAAAAACATGCAGGCTTTAAGAGCAACCAGAAATAAATAGCACATATACACCCACCCACCGGCTACCAATAGCGCCGGTTCTCAGACAGGTGCGCTCTCGTCGCGCGTACGAAACGCTGCTGCGTTAGTTGCGTAATGTCGGCTGGCAGTGCATTGTGCAATGCTGGTGCATGGTATCCAAAAGGCGTGGTTTGCAGCCTGCCAGGCGAGGGACAACTTCAAACGTGGCTTGAATGGGCGCCAGAAGAGCAGCTATGCGTGCGCAGTGACAAATACGCTGAAAACATCAATCTCACAACACTTTCAGTCGTAGTGGTCCCGCTAGTTTATACTGTTCTGTTATGCTGCACGGTTCCGGAGGATTCAGGTAGCTGCCAAAGTTAGCTTAAATTCAAACCACACAGGAAACGTAACTCCCTTTGGATTAGCTGACGAGTATGTCTTCGTGGCTACTCTGCAGGCCTCCGCGTAGCGTGTTTTCATGTTTAAAATGATGCTTATGTGGCGGCAGATCTAAGTCTCAAGCTCGGTGCAGCATGTGATTGAAAGCGAGAGACGATTTAAGGGCGAGTTCCACCTTTGAAAATGAGGCCCGTTATGCTACGATGAAACCATGACAGTAGTTCATTGCGCATGACACAGCAGAGCGCACCTGAGTTATACAAATCATAATAAGAGTGAATCATCTTAATTACATTTTATGCCTTAAGGAACGAATCAAAGTTGTGAACAGCACAAGCACGGCTAAACGTAGCCAAGCGCTCAGGGCCTCAATCATTCAGACCAAGACGTAAAACATTCAAGTACGGCCGCATCGATAAGTGTGTTGTTCACATCCAGTCACAAAAGAAGCATTTGCAAGGACCCATTAGTTCGTCGAAATGCAATATGGCGGGACGCATTCTCAACAGTAGGTGTGATATCGCGCAACCAAACCCTCCGCCTGCGGCAATCATTCAGTGATGTTTTATTGAATTGGTTATGATAGGAATGAGACGTCGCAAGACGCGTGCATTTTTAACAAAAGAAGTCGTCGCCCGGAATACTGTACAAATTATGGGCAGCAGATGGATAAAACCAAGTACTGCTGAACAAAAACCGTTCTTGTTAGCAATTGATGAGGCGTCCGATATACCGATTCTGCGCAATTAGTCATTTCAATTGATAATCTGAGCTCTTGAGAACGAATTCAGGGCAACCCGATTTGTGGTCTGAATGAAATATGGTTACTTTGAACACGTTGACGCAAAATCGAGGTTTTATACAAAATACTTCTCTCCACTTACATGTCTACATTAAACCGGACTCAATGCCAATATGCGGCAGTCCTTTTGTAATCGAAGAGCATGCGATCCTGACACCCAGTGGTCTCCAATTTCTTTGTGACGCTGTTAGTCGAACCCAAGCACAGGGACTTTGCATAAGTAGTCTAAAGTAGAAGGCAGCCGCTGAAGACGCATAAAGTGGTCAGGCGTCTTCACTGAGAACGCGAAATCGATGGAACTCTCGAGTGACGGACGTGAAATATGCAGATCACCTTCAGGATAAAATGAAGACTGCGTTTATTTCATGATATTCTCCTTCACTACCAAAACACTTACGTAATATTTGTACGCATCCTTTGCTGGTGCAGATGAGTGATAGGTTTTGTGCTTTATGTACACATCAACAGTTCTGCCTTGTCACTATACTGGACCGAGGAAACAAGTGCCTGTTTATGAAGTTGTTTTCCTTGTTTCGCTCTGCATTTCGGATATTGTTTGCTTGCATAATCAGGGAACAATGACCAGTAATAACTAACAATTAATGCGTCAAACCATCTCGTCATTTTATAACGTCTTCCTCAACAGTCATCAAAGTTGAAATCAGACAGCAATCGTTAAAAATATCCCCAAATGGGGGATCCATCGTGAACGCACGAGAATACACAACTGTCTGCACATGCTTGCACACTTATTTGTGCCAGTGCGATTGCCTATTTTCTCCTCCGTCAGAATCTGTTCATGGCAGTTTGCCGCGATGCTGGAACATCGATATCTGTACCTGGTTTTAAAACATACTCTTTGTCGGTTTCGACTTGCAATTTGAAAGCCTCATCTTATGTTATGTGTCCTGTGTTCATCGAATGGGAGATACGAAATCGTGGAAATATTGTCAGGTGACAAGGAAAGCCTATCTAATCAAACAACTCGTATGCCCATGCTTCCTGCTTCATACATCACATCTTTTTTAAACAATCTGTTGAAAAAATGCATGAACCTGCAATCATTGGATACATAAACACCAGCTTCCAGAAAGCAAAGCAGCAGGGCCGAGTCGGGCTGGACCAGGTCGTGACGTTGA